TTGAAAAATGTTATTCTGAAGCAAGTCTTTAATCAAAGTATAACTTCATGCCCATACCATATGCTAAATATCTACGTATAATTATATAATTATTCATCTAATGGGCTCTTTTTGGGATATTTAAAGTCTCAGGTTGGCCATTCTTTGCCACACAGGAAAATCATGTATATTAAGAAAATACAAACTTTTTAACTTTGTTGTGTCAAAATAATTAATAGAAAAAAGATTTCCATGTCAAGTAATTTTCATCCATTGGCACGTTTAAATCATTCAGGTCAATGCTCCCAGGTTGAGAGATTTAAATTACTTATGCTTATTTCAAGGAATACTCAAGGTCATTTGATTATAAACTTTCAGCTTCTATAAACACCTCTGATACGTGAGAAAGGTTTAAAGTGAAAAAAATTTCCCATCCTAGTAGAGAAAAAGAAGAGTTCATTCATATTCCTTTTACTACCCTCTTGTCTCTGAGGAGAGTTGTGCCATAGCCCAATGTATTTATTAAAGTATTAAACAGGGGCTCCTGGGAGGCTCTGTTGTTGGGCGTCTGCCTTTGGCTCAGGTCCTGATCTAGGGTCCTGGGATCAAGCCCCATATTAGCTCCCTGCTCAGCAGAAAGCCTGCTTCTCCCTCTCACACTCCCCCTGCTTGTGTTCCCTCTCTTGCTGTGTTTCTCTCTGTGAAATAAATAAAAAAAAACTTTAAAAAAAATTATTAAATACTTCTGTAAAAGCCTGCTATGGGTATATCTACAATATACCAAAAAAATTTAAAAATAAATAAGTTTTGCTTATAGAAAACAAGGTAAAAATAGAACTGTCACTGTGTTGAAAGAATTTTCCCCAAACTAGAAAAGAGTAAGTTTCTTTATCACTATTAAAAGTAAAAACCTAAAATAAAATTTTAAAAAGTATGTAGAAAGAAAAAAATCAGATGAGTATAGTATTCAAAATCCTAGAAAAAGAACAAAATGAACTAAAAGACGTAACAAAATTAGACTATGTTAAAACCAATTATGAATGCAGTGTAAAAGAAAAAAATCTTATTGATAATGCCAACCAACCCATTAAACATCTTGTAATAAAATAACCAAAAAGAGTTAAGACCTAGATGAAAAAACTATTGGTCATACATGTCTACAATTTTTAAAATGCCTATATTTCACAATTTGGAGAGGTGGGTTTTTTTTATCAGTGTTCTTATTGTACATCTTTTTATGAATAATCAAATAAAACAAATACATACAAATATTTTTAAACATTTTGGTGATTAATAGCATTATAGCTTAGTTGTCTCACACTTAGAACAAGGTATAATGAAAAGCATGGAATTAATGATAATGGTATAAAAGTGAAACTTATAAATTGAACTCAACTCCAAAGGGCCCACCCAGATCCTTCCATCATAATTAAACTCTTTGGGCGCCTGGGTGGCTGGCTCAGTGGATTAAGCCTCTTAAAAAAAAAAAAAAAAAAAAAAGAATTAAACTCTTTGTCCCTGGTTCTATCATTCAACCTCTTCATAACACCATTATATCACCCTTACAATGTATAGAAATTCAAGCCCTAGTACCGTGTTTTGCATATAGTTAAGTACTCAATAATTGTTTGTGAATTGAGGATAACCCTCCATCCCAAAGTAATACAGTACATAGTGTTGAGCCATTAGAGTATAGCGAGCCATTCTAGTCAATGAAACTTTCACTTATGTTCTTTTACTAACATTTATAAGTCAAGTTGAAGATAATATGACAAAAATAATATTGTTAAAAAGTATAAAATCACGGGACGCCTGGGTGGCTCAGTTGGTTAAGCAGCTGCCTTCGGCTCAGGTCATGATCCCAGCGTCCTGGGATCGAGTCCCGCATCGGGCTCCTTGCTCAGCAGGGAACCTGCTTCTCCCTCTGCCTCTGCCTGCCACTCTGTCTGCCTGTGCTTGCTCTCTCTCTCTCTCTCTGACAAATAAATAAACAAAATCTTTAAAAAAAAAAAAAAAAAAAGTATAAAATCATATTTTTATTAACATACTTAGTTTACTGATGTAACAAATTTTTGTAATAAAAATAATAGTAATAATGACAATGATAGCATTCTAGAATAAACATTTACAAGAAGCACAAATTATTTCTTATGTAAAGTACCTCATTTATGCCTCACAATAAATTAAATTAGACATATAATTTTTAACTGAGGAAACTGAGACAATAAGAGGTTAAATAATTACCCAAGGTGACGGTGGCATTGCCTGGATATGGACCCAAGCAGTATGATTCCAAAGCCCAAGCTGTTTACAATGTTATATTCTTCCATAGCTATGAAGATTGATAGATGGATGATAGATAGAGAGACAGACAGCAACTCCAGAGCAAATATGTATCAAAGAATCTTCTTGGACATCAATGAGAAATAAAATAATTTTAATAATAAACCACTTTTTAAAAAAGTTTTTTGTTTCAAGTACTTGTTTAAACTCCAGTTAGTTAATATACAGTATAATATTAGTTTCAGGAGTAGAATTTAATGATTCACCACTCAAATATAATACCCAATGCTCATCACAAGTTGCCCCTCTTAATACCTATTCACCTATATAACCTATCTCCCCACCCACCACACCTCCAGCAACCCTCAGTTTGTTCTCTATAGTTAACTCTTTTCTTTTTCTTTTTTTAAATCATTCAGGTCAGTGCTCTCTCTTTTCTTTTTTTTCCTATGTACATCTGTTTCATTTCTTAAATTCCATATATGAGTGAAATCTCTGACTAACTTATTTCACTTAGCATAATACATTCTAGCTCCATCCACATCCTTGCAAATGGCCAGACTTCATTCTTTTTGATGGCTGAGTAATATTCCACTGAGTAATAATACACACTCTGTGTGTGTGTGTGTGTGTGTGTGTGTGTGTGTGTGTATCCCATATCTTCTTTATCCATTCATCAGTTGAAAACATTTGAGCTTTTTTTTACAATTTAACTATTGTTGATAATGTTGCTATAAACATTGGGGTGCATGTGTCCCTTCAATTCAGTGTTTTTGTATCATTTAGGTAAATACCTAGTAGTGCAATTGCTAGATCATAGGGTAGTTCCATTTTTAACTTTCTGAGGAAACTCCATACTTTTTTTCAGAGTGGCTGCACCATTTTGTGTACTCACCAACAATGTAAGAGGGTTCCCCTTTCTCGGCATCCTTGCCAACATCTGTGATTACCCCTGTTGTTAATTTTAGCTATTCTGACAAGTTTTTTTTTTTTTTTTTTAAGATTTATTTATTTATTTGAGAGAGAGAGAAAGCAGGGGAAGGGGCAGAGGGAGAAAAAGAATTTCAGGCAGACTCTGTGATGAGAGCTTGAGAGTCAGACGCTTAACTGACTGAGCAACCCAGGCACCCTCTGACAGTTATTAATAAACCACTTTTAATAGTTAATTATATTAAAAGAACAGCTATGAATATGCCATAGTCTAAAAACAATCTGAGGAAAATCTACAAGTACATTCATTAATATCGGCAACAATGTTAAATTGACTTTAGTAGAATTTAAATTTAAATTCTGAATTTAAAAAATAATCTCTGAATCTTCAGTACCTCTAAAGCTTCACCATTCAAATATAAATCGACTTCCTTCTTTCCCTTAATATCAGCAGACTTTGAATCTTAATAAATGCATCTACTAATGAAAAGTGAACTTTTCTCAAAAAGGTGAACTAAAAATAAAGAAATATCAGTAAATTTATACTTCTTATTTTTTATAAATTTATTTTAGCCACAGCTGCATTAAAAATAATTCGCCAGATGTGACATACTGTTGATTTAGTTAAATAGGTAATGTGGCCCTAAGAAATAAAAATGACTTTCATATATTACATCATCATAGAGAAGTCACAGACAGCAAAATAATATCTTGCCAACTTTAGGAAACAATGAAACTACAAGGAATTATTTAAAGCTTCATAAACTACCAGAGAATGTGCAGTACTGAATAAGATAGGCATTTATCTTTCATCCCCTTTAATTTTCCATTGCATTATGCCTCAGCTTGCCAGATGTGTAATGTCAGCAACAAAAATGAATATGGAATAACTGAACTTAGTCTTAAACCTAGAAGAGACATATCATCCCCAAAGGGGAACATATTTCTAAAAGCACTTATATCTATTGGAGTGATAAAACTTACATTCTAATTTAAAACATTTTATAGCTAATATAGTTATTCAAATGTTTCTTTTGCCTATGTTGGCAAAAAATTAATACTTTGGTAATCCTCATGACATTGCATTTGGCAGTGGATCCTTAGATAAGCACCAAAAACACAAGCAACAAAAAAATAAATAAGTAAACTGGACTTCATCAAACTTGGAAACTTTTGTGTTTCAAAGGACACTATAAAGAAAATTAAAAGGCAACCTACAGAATGGGAGGAAATATTTGCAAATTATGTATCTGGTAATATATGTATGTATGTATCTAGAATATATAAAATATATATTATATATATTATATGTATATATATAAAAATAATATAGAATATATTTTAAAAAACCCTTATAATTCAACAACAACATCAAACAACCCAAATAAAAAATGGGCAAAGGGCTTAACAGACACTTCTCCACAGATCTACAAATGTCCAATAACTACATGAAATGACACAGGAACCTAAACAAGTATCCGCAGGCCCATGTCCATTGCAACATTACTCACAATACCAATAGGTGGAAGCAACTCAGGGTCCATTAACGGATGAATGGATAAACATGACATTTGCTAAATTTCCTATAATAAACATGTATTAATTTTGCACTAAGAACTTTGTAAAGTGTTTCACAGAATTGTTATAATTCACATCACCCCTACTGAGTAAATACTACCTTCTAAAAATACTGGAACTTAATGGGAAAAAATTTTCTTTTATAAAATACATTTTCCACAAGATACGTATCTTCCTCAATTTTCTTTTCTGTAATAAAAATGTACTGAAGTAAAAGAAAATATACTTACCTGTGCACTGTCCTCCATTAGTCGGATCCCCATAATAACCTGGCATACAGTCTTGACACTGCTTTCCTGTGGTAAGATTTTTACACTGTTCACACACATTGTTATTGATGCACGTGCTATGTCCATTACACTGGCAAGCTAAAGAAAAGAGTAAAAAATATCATAAATATCTATGAAACCAAAGCAAGTATAACACTTATCAAGACAAAGAATTTGTTTTACAAATTTAAATGGTAGCAAAGGCCAAAGGACATTTCCCAAGTTTTATTTTTTTATGTAAAACATATGTGATTCAAAATATAAATGCAGGACAATATATACAATAAATTGTGTTGAAATTTTGTTGTATGTTCTATAAAATATAGGGGAAAGAGATAAAGTAAAACATAACATAGCTATGAGAGAGAGCACGTGCATGAGCAGGGATGAGGGGCAGAGGGAGGGGGGAGAATCTTAAGCAGGCTCCATGCCCAGCACAGAGCCCAATACAGGGCCTGATCTCACGACCCTGATATCATGACATGAGACAAAATCAAGAGTCAGACACTTAAGTGACTGAACCACCCAGGGGCCCCAAAAAGGAATACATTTTTAACACATTACTTAAAGATTCACATGAATATTTATCTATTAAGTTATATGCACACAAGAATGAATAATATAGCTTTAATAAAGGATGTTAAATTGCATCTTAATTATATTTACACATAACAACAAATGATCAATAAATATAAAAAATTGTGCAGCTATAGGCCCTTACTTCAAAAAACTGTGTATGATTAATAAAAATAGCACTTCTAAATTAATTTGCATGAAAACAAATTATCTTCTTATCTTCTTTGGATAAGAAAAGCTTCAAAGCTTTGTCAAAATTCCATTTGAATGTGAACTACACAGAATCACATTTAAAGCATAAGACTTTTTTATGTGTTCATAACATAAGATTTAAAAAGTTCTGGTATTAATTTTACAACAGAACTTCAGATTAGAGATAAAGTTCATATATGAAAGCTCATGCCTTTTGTGCCTATTTGAAACATAATGACTTAATTTTATAACTGCTTGTCCAAACACCATCATCATTGCCACCCTCATAATCATTTTCATCATTATTACAACTAAGATAGCACTTAATTGAGCTTCCTCTTACTGTAGCCAGGGAAGCCAATATTCCATCAATCCCAATTGTTGTGGCCAGCATCTATTCTGATTGGTCAGTGTACATATTGCATTGCTTTTAAAATATATAAATACTACTCAATTGCCAGATAGTATACCAGGTGGTAGACCTAAATTATATCATTTAATCCTCACAATAATTCTATATGGGAGGTATTACATTGGGGCCATTTCTAAGACTTTTTTTTTTTTCAGTGTTCCAAGATTCATTGTTTATGCACCACACGAAGGAAGCCTGGGTTAAGCAACCATCCAAAGTCACACAGCTAATCAATAGCAGAAATAAACACATAAAAGAAAGTTTGAATCAAAGACCAGACATTAAATACCATAGCTATTGTATGTAGAAAATTCAAAAGTGAGAGAGGGAGATCCTAAGAGAGTAACATAGGGTCATCCACAAGAGCTAACTAACATCAAAAAGTAAAGACACAGGCAAGAATAGTAAAAACTGAACACCTATACTCTATAGAAATTTTCAGAGCCATAACTCCACTATAAGACAGTACAGAAATAACATAAAGTCATCATGGGGAAATGCTAAATAATCTTCATCATCCTCTATAAAACTGAGGAAAATTATAGTTTTCATATTTTATATTACACTATGAAACAATGAGGAAGAAATTTAGAACAAGGAAAAATGCTCATGATAATTTAAGTGAAATCAAGGTACAAAACATGATATTTAGAATGACAACAATTTTGTTTTAAAATGTATCAGTATGGGATGCCTGCGTGGCTCAGTTGGTTAAGCATCTGAATGACTCTTGATTTCAGCTCAGGTCATGATCTCAAAATATAGAGATCTAGCCCAGCATCAGGCTGCATGCTCAGCGGGAGTCTCCTTCTCTCCCTCTTCCTCCCTCTCCTTCTGGCCCTCCCCCTATTCACTCTCTTGAGAGCTCTCTCTCTCTTTAAAATAAATAAGTAAATCTTTAAAGAAATGAAAATTGGGAGACAAACCATAAAAGACTCTTAATCTTAGGAAACAAACTGAGAGCTGCTGGAGGGGAGGGAGTAGGGGGATGGGGTAACTGGGTGATCATTGGGGAGGGTATATGTTATAATGAGCACTGGGTATCATATAAGACTGATGAATCACAGACCTGTATTCCTGAAACAAATAATATATTGTATGTTAATTAATTGAATTTAAATTAAAAAAAAAAAGTAAAAACAAAGTTTAAAAAAATAAAATAAATGTATAAGTATGCCTATCGAAAGTTAATATAGGTTATCTTAGTTTAGTAAGTTTTTTTTGCATCATCAATTTTCTATAGCAAATTCATATTAGTTCTATAAAAATAATAATGTTAAGAACTTTGATTTTTTAAATATTTGTTTAAAAGTGTAAGTTGTTGTTTCATAGAAACTTTATTATTGATACTACTAATTAATTCAGTCAGGTAAAAACAAGTTTATTGAGTGCCCACTACATGTAAAGCATTACCTGAAAAAGTTAAAGTAAGAAATGGGTTACTATATATGTATTTTATGAATCTCCTGGTGACATATTTCCACCAGAAAAACAAATGCTTTAACTTCTGAATAGGATGTCTAAATTCAGCAGTCATATCTAATATCCTCCTGTTAGCTCACCACTAAAATAAAAGGAAACTTACCAGCAACTACAGGAATTTGGGTATGGTGACAATGACACAAATTAAACTAGAAGGTAGTAAACTACAATACCTCTGGAAATTAAAAGAGGATCCCTGGTATAATGCCACTCACTGTCTCTTCCTGAAAATGAGAAGTTCAGAAGGCATTTCTGAGCCATAGGGCAATCACAAAGCATATTATTGGCTTGATGCCATAAAGTTCATGGAAAGTGTGATACAGGTAAGTGTAATGTTTAAGGTAATGAATATACTACACGAAAAGTTGGTACGATTTAGATCTGACTGCAGACAAAATTTCCAAGGCTGGGGAAAAAGGCAGGGGGGTGGGGGTGGTCATTGTCCTAGACTGTAACTAGCATGGCAACAATGGCAAAAGAGAAAGCATGCTACACAAAGTGGAACCCAGACATAATGGCTGTAGCAAACACAGACAAGAAAAAGATACACTATAAACCTATGCTTATGTTTTATTCCCACTAGCATTGGGGTGCTAAAGCAAAGAGTAATAGAAGCTTGTATCTAAATAGTTCTTCTAGGATACATTGTTACTAGAAAGGTTCTAATAACAACCTGGCTGAGGAACATGAATAAAGCTAAAAAGAAGCCATCCATACTGTTTTGTCTAAATTTTAAAACCAGCCCAGATGGTTCCTTATCTATATATACAAACATGTAAAAAGGAAAGAAAGAAAAAGAAAGAAAAAAATATTATGGAAAACTCAGCATTTGATATGCAAATAAGATACATAGTTTTGAAAAATATGTGCTCTCTAAAACAGATGTAAAACATTTAAAAATATCTGCTTGACATTCTCAATAAAATTCAAAAAATGTATACACAGAAAATTTACTCAAAACATTTACTCAAAACACATACCCTATCTTAAAACAAAAGGGATTATCAGATGCTAGAAATCAGAGCTAGGATTCAAAACAAGAATGTTAAAGAGAATCTTGAGCTAGTAACGGAATTTCACTATATATAGAATGGACAAACAAGAATAAGGAGACTTGGGTTTGAAAACCCAACATGGCCAGGTGATATGATCTCTGGCATCCTCAAGGAAGACAGCAAAACTAAACCATACTTATAAGGCTTGAAGCCTCCACTTGCAGCCCCTATCTGTCGGGGAGAAAAGCACATCACAAGTCCACTTATGAGAACTTAAAGCCTATGCCAGACATGTCTCCTGGAAGAAATTCACATTGTTCACATGGTACAGAAACTCCAACATCAAACATTAATGTAAAATCTGTTCTGTAATCAAGAAAAGCCTCATACACTTTGCAAAATCAGGTTTAAACGGCCCCTAGAAATATTTCTAAAAACTCAAACAAATACAACACAGAATACAGAGTGAGAAAATCTGTTTTTCTGTAAAGGGCTAGATGGTAAGTATTTTAGGCTTTGCTGATGATATAATTTCTATCACAGTTCCTCACCTCTGCCATTATAGAGCATTATAGTGCAAAAGCAACCATACACAATACACAACAGTTGAGCATATCTGCATTCCAGTAAAACTCCACTTATAAAAATAGGCAAGGGACCAGGTCTGGCCTTCAGGCATTGCTTTGCAAACCTCTGACTTATGGGAGAGTGGGGGACAAGCAAATAAACAAAAACCTTAACAGGGTTAAACCTCAAAGAGAAAACTTACAAAGCATCAAAAAGAAGACTCAGAAGAAAGAAAGGGAGAGATAATAAAAATGAGAATTGATAGCCCAAGAACTGGACTCACAGGACAATTAGAAGACATGAAAATATTCAAAAGAATTAAAGACAAAGAATAAAAGAAGTAAAAGTAGGTATGATGGCAATATCTGATCAAATAGAGAACAACAGTAAAAACAAATTTTTAAAAAGTGAATGAAAAATGAATCAGTAGAATAGTTTAATAACTAAAATAAAAAATACACCAGAGGGACTCAACAGTAGATTAATAATGACAGAAGAAAGAATTAATAGGTCAATAGAAATTATGTATGTACAGAGAAAAAAGAATGAAGAAGAGTGAACAAAAGCTCAGATAAATGTGGGAAACCATCAAGTACTCAGGCCTACGAGTAATGGGAGTGTTGAAAGGATGAGAGAGAGTAGGGGAGTCTAAAATTTACTTGAAATTCTGAAAACTACCCTAATTTGATAAAAAAAAATGTTATCGACACATTGAAGAAGCATAATTCTAAGTACAAAAAACATGAAGAGATAGACTGGATTAAAATTAAGATCTAATTTTGTACTGTTTGTAGGAGACACACCTAAAGATGCAAATATATTGAAAGTGAGTGAATGAAAAAAGATATTAACATACAAACAGCAACCATAAGAAA